TTTACTATGCCAAAGTTTTCTGTTTTATACATGTAAATGCATCTTTCTGGGTGTAACATGGTAAGATGTTATTGAATCACAAGCCATCAGTATCAAGATCAATGACATGATCATGATATTCAATAAATGAAAGTACAACTAGTTATTCATTATTAGTTACAGCTGTTGTGATATTCTGATCATCTGCATTTTTATGATTATTTGTTCTCTTTTCTAAATTCTGCAGTTTTGTTTCATATGTCCTTCCTTGCCACAATGATAATAATTAAATCTTCTTTTATTGCATTCTTTATGATCTCTACTTTAACTTCTATCCCTGCTCTTTGTAACAAGGGTTTGTGAGGTATTAATGCTCGTATTCTTACTTCTGTTCCCCTTACTTTTGTAATAAGCCATCAAGGTTTCTCAACTATTTAGCAACGAACTCAAAAGTAATAATGTATGCATTTCATCATTTAAGGTTAATTTCATATTATTCAATTAATTTATCAGATCTTGGAACTCACTTAACTATTCTGCTATTGACTGTCCATCTCACAGCTTCAGATTCACCAATTTTCTGATAATAAAAACTTTATTTTCAACATTTTTTCTCTTACATATTCTCTAATTTTTTTCACAAATCCTGTGCATTGACTTCTTTACTTATATAGTGATAGATACGGATATCCACCCATTGTTGAATAGTCCCGATAGCTTTCCTATGCATTTTCTCCTAATCATATTCTGATTTTCTAGTTGGCTTGACATTTCATAATTTAATAGGATCATACAGATCTTTGCAATAAAGAGGATCCTCCATCTTCGTCTTTCAAATTAAATAATTTAAAGAAGACAATTTTATTATAGTACCAGTAAATTCTGTCATCCTAATTTATATAATTTATTGCATATCACAAATCAATCAACAAACTAGTTAACCAATTTTTGATATCATTTGCTGGGTCCCGAACAGAGATAAAATTAATTATGTAAATTAAGTTAATCATAAATTAATTATCATAAATTAATAAACATAACTTTAAGCCAAATTGATGTACAACAGAACAAAAAATAATAAGCAGATAATAATTGAAAAATTAAATAGATACAGAATTTTACGTGAAAAACTCTTTAGTGTAAAGAAAAAAAAAATACGAGTCAAGTTCTGAATCAAATTCACTATTAATAAAATATAAGATAATACACCAAGAGTTAAAATCAAAACATGAAAAATAAAATTTTCTTTGTAGAGAAAAAGAGAAAGGTAAACAAAATCAAATTTAAATTTTTATGAGAAAAAGAAGAAATTGTTGATGTAGGAGATAATGTCACCAAAAAAGGAGAATGAAAACCACTTTTTCTTTTCTCTTGGTAGCCACTAAACTTGTATATATATATATATATGTGTGTGTGTGTGTGTGTGTGTTATTGGTAGCCACTAAACTTGTATATATATATATATGTGTGTGTGTGTGTACATATACACAAGTTCTCTTCTTTCTTTTCTCCTCTTGCCCACACCCTGCTCTAATTTCTCTCTAACTCTTTATTTTTTTTTTCCTATATAACACACACACATATATATATATACCCAATAAAGAGAATGAAAACCACTTTTTCTTTTCTCTTGGTAGCCACTCAACTTGTATATATATATATATATATGTGTGTGTGTGTTCTTGGTAGCCACTAAACTTATATATATATGTGTGTGTGTGTACATATACA